AAGAAAAACAGAACTGAAACTGGGAAGAAAGAAACTAACTACCTATAGGAAATGGTGTTTAAGTAATTCTGGAAGTCCAATTAAAATTTTAATTACACAAACAACAATATTTTTGTCTAAGAGATGGTAATATTTAGTGCCTGTATTTTTATAATAATTTAAACAATAGAACATATTGTTGTTTAAGTATTTAGCATAAATCATTCTCAGTATATATATCCAAAATATGGACTAATAAAACCAAAAAAATATTCCCATTTTGGAAGGGGCTTTTGCCATTAAGCTTCGCTCCCTCCCCCTCATAGATCCACCAAAGGAATATACCTTAGAGAAACCAAAATCAGGAATAAACAAGCTTTGTATGATAACCATAAAAAAAAAAAAATAAATAAATAAATCAATAAATTTTTTAATAGCTCAATGGTCATATTCTTCGCATTTTTTAACATCACTGATAAAAGTATCATCAATAATTTTTCAGAGTAATAAAATATTTATGGAAAATAATTTATCCTTTTTTTCTATTTTAATATTCATTATAATTTTAAATTTTATAAATAATTATATAAATATAACACTACTGTAATATATTGTCTGAATCACCACTTTTATTTAATATGATATGTGATACACATGATAATTACTACGTCTTTTTTCAGTTTATTTACAGGTTTACTGGTTGAATGATTTTTTTAAAAAAAGGAATTTCAAAATCCAGGACTTAGATGGAATACATAAAATTTAACATCTCTTTAAAAAGTGACTTGGAAACCGTAAATGTAGGCAAATGCCTCATGACTGATCTACTATCGGAAGAAACTAGATGTTCTAGGGTTCTGAGTTTTCACTAGTGATTTAAGAAGGTGAAAAAGTTTTCTATCACTACAGAATATTGGTTCACCAATTAAAAAACAGACAAAATATATCAACATGATTAGATCTAAGCTTTTTAAAAAAATAATTCAATTGAAACGGTATTCTACTGTCCCATGTTCTTAGATAGAATTTTATTTTTTTATATCTGTAGACAACTGCAGATTATCTACTGCTACTGAATTTGTATGAGATTAATGCTTTTGAGGAGCTACCAGGATTAAATAAAGTAGTGGCAATGATTAATAAAATTATTTTAACTCTGTATCAAGTACACTAATTATCAAAACTATAAAAAAATGTATCACTATAACCCATGAAAGGTCTTAGGTTCAGTACTATTTTGGGGAAGTACTGTTTCAAGGCCATCGGTTGTGCAGGGAGGGGATCGGGCCAGGATCACAATCAACCGTCAGTGTTTTCCCCTTAATTAATTATATAAATCTGGGACCTTGGACATTGGAAGCTTAGTGACCTACCACTGAGCTACCCCACTCCCTTTATCAAAACTATAAATATTAAAAAATAAGATCATATTTTTGTGAAAAGGAAAACCAATCCTTTTTTACAATAATTGAAATGTAAAATAATATCACTGAAAAATGTTTTAGTACAAAGTAGGCCTATTGCTTTTCTCTTTTCTTGTTTATAATTCAAAAAATGTATACATAAAATAAATAAAAACTTTTCATATTATTTCCCAAAGACAGATTTTAACTGTTATTTGCTTTCATTTTTACCTAATTAATTTTTGAGCTTTAATTTCTATAAGTAACAGCCAGAATTACATTTGAGACATGAATTGAGAGAAGAAGACAGGGTAAAAGACCACGGATGACCTGGGAGGAAGGCGTGCAGGAGATATCCCGTAAGTGAGGGCTAGATCAGAGTAGAAGGAGAGAGATGGTACAGGAGGGGAACACTTTGTCCAAGTTCTTCTATAGAGACCATCCCCACACTGTGCATGGCACAGGCGGATCTACGGAGGGGGCTTTCGGGCTGAAGCCCCCTCCAAAATGGTAAAATATTACCATGTTTTACAGAAAAAAATATTAAATACTATCTCTTAAAGTATTCTTGTTCTTTTAATTACATTTAATAGGACTTCAAGAACCACTTAAACACCATTTCATCATAGTTAGTTAATTTCTTTCTTTTTTTATATAATAAATTATTGTTATATGTATATGAAAAAAAATCTTTCGGGCTGAGCCTCCCCAAAATTAAATCCTGGATCCGCTAGTGGTGTATGGCTATGATAATGGTGAATTTTTATAAGCTTTCTCTTAGTTATACTTTAAAAGCTTATATTATAAAATACTTGACTGTTTATAAACACTATTTAGTGATTTCAACCTTGTTTATATTGCTTATATCACTTTTGAAAATTTAAATATACAATAGAAAATCTATAAAAGAATATGGAATTTTTTTCTTTTGTTGTCATTACAGACATTTTAGATCTTTTTCCACCTTAAAAAAGCCATTCCATTTCTGCCTATCTTGAGCTATTTCTTTCCAGTTATCTACATACAGTTTTATTGCATCTTAGTCTATTCTACCTATCAATCTGCTTTTTGGTCTCCCACCTTGTCTTTGCCTAATATTGAGGCATTTATTGTCGTGTAGAAACTTCCAGATGTATTACTCCCAGGTACATGTTCCACCCATCTTAACCTCCATGCCTTCATCATGAGATATTTATTGACTATATTCATATAATGATACTATGGTAGATTTACGAGCAAATCTATTTAAATACTCAGGTAAGTTATTCATGAAATTGATGTCTTCGTGTACTCAACCCTCTAACAATGGTGGACTCTTATATAAGTCGACAGGGAACTGGGCCCAGGAGATGGTTCACTCACAATTGAGTTGAGACCGACCTTGCCCTAGTCATAATGATAGGTTCATATATGAGTAAGAACCATGTTTGGTTAAATGACTGGATGCTCAATTCTACTTTCAAAATATCTCATGGCCTAAATAACTTTTCAATGGCTGGAGATCATGAAAATATTGTAACGTTTCTCTAAATAAAAACTGTAAAAGTGATCAGTAGTAAAAATTAAACTTTTGCTTAAGTTATTTTATATAAAGTAATATTTGAACTATACTTCATTAAATATGTCTCTAATTCAGTTGCTATAACAATAGGCTACAATTAATTATTATCACACAATTTTTAAATTCCAAACCATTGCAGGCAGCCCCTTTCAGGCTGGAAAAATCTTTAAAAAAGGTATATTATAAAAAAAAATGAACATGAATCAAAGATACACTAACTAATCACTACAAATGCATATTTTTTTTTATTATTTCTAGCACTCAGAATTGCAAGGTTAAAATAAATTTTGAGTTCATTTGGATAGTTAAGCAGTGATTTTGAAAACAATTTTATACATTCTGTATCTGTTCTATTATCATGAATTGAAATGTAAATATGTGTATTTTTAATAATTTAAGTTATTGAATCATTGTTTTATATAACAAATTACAATACAAGATAAATGGTTAAATTATGTATAAAACAAGTAATCGAATACTCTACAATTAAATCTATATCAACATAGACATGTGGTGGTGAATTTGATGGCTTTCTACTGAATGATGAATTTTTATTTTGCATTGGAAATGAAGTTTGTTGGAGAAACCTTTAGATCTTTATATTCTATTAATTTATATAATTATCATTATTCTACAAACCACAGCAACAGTGCAATAAACATAAATTTCAAACAATCTTAAAAACCTAAGATGCTTATACAGCTTCTGGTATATTATTGTTTGAAATCACTAAAAATAAAGCCCATAGACATAATTTTAACCATATTGGTGTCAACTTGAGAGAACACTGTTTTTGTTTTTTTCACGGAAAGTTTGCCTTATCTAGATCGCCTGATAAATAAACTATAAAAAATGTTATGTTAGTTATCAAAGAATAGTCTTTCGATTGGAAGTTATTGAAGATGTATGTACGCAGCTCATTCTCCGTACATTTATATATAAAATTTCATTGAGTTGAAGTATTGAAAGTTTTCTTTAAACAGTTTTTTATTTATAAAAAAACAACAACTTTGTAACTATAACAAAGCCATCAAAATAATGACACTTTCTTTCAAATCATATTTTTTAGTATTGGATATTTTGTTTTTTCACATTAATTTTGGAGGTTATTAAATTGAACATATGCACTTGGTTATTTACTGACCACAAATTGGCACTTGTAATCCAAATTAAGTAGAATAATAAAATAAAACCATGAGGCAGAGCTTTGCAACAAGGTGCATATCTTAATATGCAGATTAATATATATGTCAACTCTATTCTTTGTTTTCAATCATCCATAATATTTAAAATAAACTATTAACTATATGAAAATGAAGTTTTTGTTAACTATAGAACATATTTTAGGATCGTAGCTATACTAAGTAGAGTAAAATTTAAAGAATGATAAGCTCAGTATTAGTGTAGAAAACAATCAAACGGAAAACTTTATCAACAAGTGTAAGCAACAGTGAGCCTTGTTCTATGGTTTTATCTGAACCTGCGACTCAACTTACAGGAAATGATTCAAATAATAAGGCTGTGGAAAGATTAAGAATGCACAAAGAAATTTCTGAACCTTTTGAGAATTGAAAGAGAAGGCTATTCTGAAGTTTACGAAGCACTAGAAGATCCACGTCACATACTATTCCAATGTAGGAAGTACAAGAAAGAAAAATAATATTTAATACCAGAAAAAGAATTTAAATTGAAAAAAATATTGGATTTAGAAAACATTAAGAAAATCAGAATTAAATAAAACAAAAAACAATACAGAATTAAACAAGTGAATAAACTATATATTTTTAAAAGTTAATTTTATATTATTTTACTTCATTTTATTTAGATTCATTATATTTTTTTATTGTGTTTTATTTCTGTGTAATCTGAAATCATCTATTTATATATGTATAATTTTTCATGTACGTATAAATAAATAATTATAATAATGAACATCTGCATAAAAAACTTATTTTATTTAGACTTAGCTATTACTATGTCAATAATAGATAATACATTCACTCAATTTACCATTTTAAGAAATATTTAAAAATAGTAGAAATTAATTTCAAACTTACCAAAAAGATTCGTCATCGTCATCATCATCAACTTTTTTAACTTTGTTTCTTGTTTGATTTTCTTCACAAAGATGTTCTAAGTTCCCACTTATAGTAGAAATATCTGTGAATTAAGTTTTTAAATATTAGTTTAGAAATATTTGATTCAAATATTTTTTAAGAAATTTATTTTTCGGTTTATTTTTTTCTTGTAATATCAAAAGCATATGTAAATAATTTTTATAAATGTATATATTTGTTGAAATCTCAAACTAAGGGTGTAAAATGCTTTGATAAAGCCATTTATAATATATGGCTGTGAGGCTTGGAAACTTACTAGCACCCTAGAAAAAAGTCATGAAAGATTTGAAGGGAAAATCCTCCGCACGATAACCGGAGCGATCTGGCATCAGAGTACTAACACATGTAGAAGAAAGACCAATAAAGAACTGCTTTCACAAAATTGTTCAATCTATATCCCATGATCTGAAGACACGGAGGTTAAGATGGACAGGGCATGTAGCTCGTAGCAATTGATCTGGAAGCCTCTATATAACAATGAATGCCTCAATAGAAGGCAGAAGACCACATGGAAGGCCATAAAGCAGATGGACAGATAAAATCAACAAAGATGCAATAGAGATGCGTGTAGATAAATGGAAAGAAATAACCCAGGATAGGCATAGATTGAGTAGGCTTGTTAAGGCGACAAAAGATCTGCATAGTCTGTAATGAAAACAAAAAAAAATTAAAATATTTGTTGACTTTATTTTAAAATTATGAAAATAATAAATATGGTAATATGGTAAATTAAAAATTGTAAAAAAAATAGCGATGACTGTTTTAATATGACCAGGTAAAATCAATGGTATTGAAAACCACTCATCATAAAGGACTCAACTTAAAAAACCACTCATTCTAAACAAATACCATAATGGATAAGGAAAATAAAAAATGTAGAGATAATATTTAATTTGTTTATTAATGTTAAAAATAAAAATACATATAAAAATATTGTTGCGGTACTCTTTTGAAAAAGGTTCGAGAATTCCAAGTATTTTTTTTTTTTTATAAAATATTTTTGTAATATCTCGAGTTTAGGAAATATATCAACATTTCCACGAAAATATTTGTTTATGAAATTAATTTTTTATCGAAATCCAAAAGCCATTAGCTCGAATCCAATTACCGAAATTCCTCAAAATAAAAAAGGTTTTTATTTTTTTTTTATTTATTTATTTAATGAAATACAACTGTATAAACAATACAACTAGTAAAAATTCAAAAATCATGACATGAACAGACTTGAAGAGATACTGCCCAGTGGTAGCACTCCCTATTTAATTCTAGGTAAGAAGATCACGAGGCCATCTTCTTTTCAGACGCCCAGGGAGATTATCAAGAATCGAGGAAGAAGCAAGGCTGGAAACAAGTGGATTCGGTTGGGACTGGAGTTTATCATGAAAGGATAGGTATCTGTCTCGGGCTAAATCAGCGACATATGGTACATTAAGGTCTTTATGAATCGTTTTATTTGTGACAAAATATGGAGCATTAAGGATTTTGGGTGGTAAGGATTGGATACGATAGGAATTTGTAAGGATTGGATACGATAAGAATTTGATGGTTTGGTAGAGCCCCAAAGCTCAACCCCCAAGTCCCAGATATGTTCATATAGGTCTAATTATGGCTAAGTAGATGAGTCTTTTGTAACTAATTGAAAGTTTGGAGCGTTTGTCTAGTAAGTGTTGGAGCAGTCGGAAACGTTGAGCAGTTTCTTATCGTTTCAGTCTGGTATGCGGATTCCAAGTGAGACATTTATCCAAGTGGAGTCCTAGGTAGCGGATTTGTTCAACAGGAACAAGTGGAATATCATTGAAGGATATTGTAGGGCAAGAAGTTGTAGGTTTACGACGAAGGGTAAAGGTAATTTGATGGTATTTATTGGAATTTATTTTTATTCTCCAGTTATGACACCATTCTTCAACGTTTGTGATATGTGATTGGAGGGTTTGGGATGCAATTAAAGGGTCATTTTTAACAGATAGGATACAAGTTTCATCTACATTAAAAAATAAAGAAGTTAAAAAATAAATTAATAAAAACATAAAGTAAGTGTTTTTCCCTACGTTCTATGTCAACATAGGGACATAAAGGTACCCATCCAGAGGTCCACAAGAAGGTGTTGTTACACCACGGGTCTCCATATATTTTGTTTTATCTTCATTTACATGCAGCCTGATTTGCTTAGCTTATCGATGTCTTTACCAGTGTTGATTTATGGACGCGCCTGATAGATTTTAGTAGATGACCTCCAGTAATTACTCCTTAATGTGACAAAGAGTGAGGGAATGTATAGGGATGTAGGGTTGCACAATGAATTGTACTTAATTTTGATGTTGGCTATTGAAAAGTATCAAATCGATGAACAATCGACGAAAAATTAAGGAAGAAGCCTGAAGGACGGTGGAAAAGAAAGAAGAACTCACTTGAGGCATGGGAATGAAGGCAGAACTATGTGATGGGAGAAGAGAAACCCACTCCACTGAAGATTAAGAATATTATGCCTACAGTTATAAGACTTTATAATATCTTCAATTTATTACAGTTGTGGAAATAAATTATTTTGTTACACAGGAGTGAATAGTCCTTTTATTTAGATGTCCTATATGCCTCTTCCCCACATATTCCCCACATATATTATTACAGTAAGGCTCAAAATCGGTTTTGTACCAAATATAAGCTCCTGTCATGCTCAAATACCATGAATGGGGGGGGGGGTACTGTTGGATTCAGAATTTCACAGCAGGTTAGTTAGAGAATCGTATTCTCCAATTTTGTTTTTCTTTCTATAATAAATAAAGTCGATACAAACGTTTTGTTATGCTTCAATACTGGAACGGTGGTAGGTCTGTAGATCGATACTGGACAAATCCTCCGGAACTATCGGGCCCTGCGTTTTTAAGCCCCAAAACGTACTATTATCGAGATAAAGCAAGGCATAGGGTTCGCATCCACACAACCTGACGTTAATTGTAGAACTGTCATTGGATACATGTCTCATTTCGTCGACTTGAGGCCTCTATGATCGAGAGAGGATGAGCTTATATTATTTATCGATGGTGTTTTTGATCGGCATGCCATATCATTGTTAATTTTTCACCAAATCTGAAGATTGAGCCACCAATTTCGAAGGCTTCCCTCTCCTTCAGGAAGGCAAAATGGTCCAATCCCCCCAAAAATTCAGGAAAACAAGATAAGAAAGAAAAGAAACTTTATTAGCGAATAACTAAAAAAATAAACACTTTTTCCCGGGTTATGCCGATGATTATATAAAAGATTACTAAATTCCCTACAAAAGGAAAATAAAATCATCGAAATCGGACAATTTTTAGCAAAGATACAGCTTATTGAAATATGTAAACATGTTAGTTCCAAACATTAACGAAGATTTTTTGTTTTTTTCTCTCTTCATACTTCTGTCCACACCTGTCATAGAATTGACAATAAGCAGATGTGATCTCATAGTGAAGAAAATTGTCATGCAAGGCATGAGGTAAGATTTAAATTAATTTTTGATTCCTTTGTCGATTATATTTATCGATAAAGTAACAATTGATTACTTTATCTTTTGATACGTTGCATTAGTTTCTTATTAATTTGGCATTTGAAAGCAACATGCTGTGTGAATTTTTCGCACGGGCCTATTAGTAATCAATTATTATTCGAGACCTCAATCGGCATTTGAAATGAAGTGTACAATAAAGAAATCTAATGATTGCTTCAATTATTTTACTGAAAACGTAAATAATATGATTTAAAACATTTAGTTAGTCACTTATAGGTACAGATGAATTACTACAATAGAGGTCTAGGTAAAAATCACAGTTCCATTATCACTTTAAATGATAAATATTTGAAAAAATCATTATTTTTTAATAAAATGTGTTTATATGTGGCTATGTTTAGTATAATACATACCAGATCATTTTTCACTTAGGTGATATTGAAATACCTCATTTTTTATTCGATTAAGCGAAGTGAAACGAGGGTTCTGTCCGCTAAAAGCTATGTTTTGAGTGAATGACGGGATCGATTTTTAAGTTTGATGGCTCAGGTTATTCTATGAGATTCCCTGAATGTTTTGAAATAATTTCAGCTAAAAGTTCTGAACTGTGGTTAAATAAAATTGGTTTAATCGACTTGCAAAAAGCTTTGTAGCACTGTTTGGAGCGAACGGCTGGGTCGATTTTTAAGTTTGATATATTATATTATTCGGCGAGGTCCCGTGAATGTTTAGAAAGCTAAACGACACGAGAGTAATATGCTCGTGTTGTACGCTAAAAGTTATGTAACGCTGTTTTAAACGAACGGCTGGATCGATTTTTAAGTTTGATGGCTCAAAGTATTCGGTAAGATTTCTTGAGTGTTTTAAAATAATTTGAGCTCAAAATACTGTGTAATCAATTCACTAGAAATTACGTAAAAACTTAAAAAACTACTCAATCTACTTTACTCTCTTTTTTCTAAATCTTCAAAACTAAAACTAAAACAGAAACCGAATACTTATACATACTTAAGCCCATATGGACGTACTCATCACAAATATACGGCGTCGCTAAAACGACACACCTACAAAAACTTCAAACGTTCCAATCAAAATGATTGCGACTCATAACAAAAGCACCTTGCTACGTGACTAACAAAACTCTACGTACTGACCTCCATTTTCCAAAAGTTGACCAACATATAACGATCCTTTATCAACGATTTTACACAAATTTAAACGGACATAATAACAGACTTATAAGAGACCTGGCCACAGCTGACATACATCAGAACATGAGGAGGAGACTAAAAAGGCGTTGGATGAGAGATCTCCTTCCTTAAACAACCTAAGGAATTGAAACAAGTTAGGGAGGAGGTACTGCTGAGTACTTTCCTTCCCCATGCCTGTCATGTCATTATTTCATGTATTGCCATCACATTTGCTGATTGTCAACAATAACTTGACAGGTGCAAATACATATTTAAAAAAAAAAAAAATCAAAAACAGAACTTAGCATATTTTATCCGCAAAGTCTTCTTTAATTGGTCTCAAAAAAGAAAAATAATATTGTCGTT